CCTGAGGATAACTGGTCTGACTATTAAAGACTGAGGCAAAGAAGGCATTAAGTACCTCAGCCTTTCCTCATCCTTTGTCACTATGTTTCCCTCCTGCATCCAATAAAGGATGGCGATTATCCTTAGCCCTCCTTTTGTATTTATAGAAACATTTTTAATTGTCTTTTATGGCAGTAGCCAAGTTAAGTTCTAGTTGTGCTTTGGCCCTTCTAATTTTCTGCCTGCATAACCTCATGACATCCTAGTAGTCCTCCTGAGTTGCCTGCCCCTTCTTCCAAAGGTCATAAACTCTCCTTTTTTTCATGAGTTCCAGCCAAAGCTCTCCGTTCAGCGAGGCCGGTCTTCTTCCCCGCTGGCTCATCTTTCGGCACATGGGGACAGTCTGCTCTGTGCCTTTAAGATTTCCTTCTTGAAGAATGTCCAGCCTTCCTGGACTTCTTTGCCCTTCAGGACTGCCTCCCAAGGGACTCTGTCAACCAGTCTCCTAAACAGGCCAAATTCTGCCCTCTGGAAGTCCAAGGTGGCAGTTCTGCTGAGCCCCCTCCTTACTTCTCCAAGAATCAAAAACTCTCTATCATTTTGTAATCTCTATGCCCAAGATGGCCTCCAACCGTCACATCACCCACAAGTCCTTCTCTGTTCACAAACAACAGGTCCAGCGGGGCACCTTCCCTAGTTGGCTCACTCACCAGCTGTGTCAGGAAGTTATCTTCCACACACTCCAGGAACCTCCTCGACTGTTTCCTCTAGGAGGAAACAGACTTTCCGGACTTCTGCTCTGAAGTGTAACAAGCACAGATGCTACCTGAAGTTCCTGCTTTCGCTGGTAATCTGCTTCCCATATGCAGAAATAGAATCATAGAAACATTTAGGTTGTAAAAGTCCTTTAATATCACTTAGTCCAACCATAAACCTAACACTGCCCAGTCCATCACTAAACCATGTCCCTAAGCGCCACTACAGGTCTTTTAAATACTTCCAGGGATGGTGACTCAACCGCTTCTCTGGGCAGCCTGTTCCAATTCTTGACAACCCTTTCGGTGAAGAAATTTTTCCTAATATCCAATGTAAACCTCCACCGGTGCAACTTGAGACCATTTCCTCTCGTCCTATCGCTTGTTACTTGGGAGAAGAGACCAACCCCCACCTCACTACAACCTCCTTTCAGGTAGTTGTAGAGTGCGATGAGGTCTCCCCTCAGCCTCCTCTGCTCCAGGCTAAACAGCCCCAGTTCCCTCAGCCGCTCCTCATAAGACTTGTGCTCCAGACCCTTCACCAGCTTCGTTGCCCTTCTCTGGACATGTTCCAGCACCTCAATGTCCTTCTTGTAGTGAGGGGCCCAAAACTGAACACAGTATTCGAGGTGCGGCCTCACCAGTGCCGAGAACAGGGGGACGATCACCTCCCTACTCCTGCTGGCCACACTATTTCTGATACAAATACCTTCATTTCTTGTAGTTTGGGAATTGAAAACCAGTCTGCTTTTTGGGAAATGATGATCCCTCGTTTTCTGGAATTGAATGCCAAAGAATTGTGCAGGGTAACAAATACAAATCATAATTATATGTAGTGGAGTTCTATTATATGAAAATTGTACTGATGTACAAAGCACTAATTATACGGTGACTGATATCTTCTGGTAAAGGGCTCCTTTTTCCCTGTAATAGAACTCATGACCCTATAATTAATATATTATTTATGATCTTTCTCCATGCATTTTTTATGGAGAAGACTTTGGAGCTGAGTAACAGATCTATCTGTGGAAGAGGCTGTCCACAAGAGGAAGAAAGTGAATTACAACTGATAGAAATTGAAGAGGTAAAGGTGACCACAGTTAATATAAGGCCCCAGCCATGATGATATTGAAAGCCCGGAGTCCCATGAAGAGCACAAATACTTGAATGACATGAGATTTGAATCTAAGTCAGCTTATCGCCATGATCGCAGATACTGCTGATGTTACAGCTTCTAAGTTTACCCTTGCTCGTATGTGAGAAATACAGAGATTTGGAGGGGCAGACTGCATCACAAATAAATCATCACTAAACTGAGGGAATAAAGTCTCATAACATAGCAGTTATTTCTAATTATGGAAAGAGCAAATTATATCCATGCTACTGTTTAACTACACAGCTATCTGCCATTTGCTCTGAATACCAGTTGGAATGACTAGACTTTATTACACTGTAATTAGTAGAGATACATTTTTACTTCAGTACTGTTAGCTTTCAGAACTCCATCAGTATGGTATTTTACCGAGACAAGCATATATCAAAGTCATGGAGTCACAACATGCAGGAAGCAGAAGTTACCTCTGTATTGCTGCCTTTCTTCCAGTACAGTATTCTGTAATTCCACGAGCCGTAATATTGCTTTAGAGGCCACTTGTCATGTCCATGTTCAGCAAAAGGGCCTGTGAAATCCACATGCAGGGACCCAGACTCAGACTTTACTTTTACATCAGGTGGCCCAATGACTGCTATGTATTAGAATGATGGAAGAGAAGAAAGAACGGAATTCAGTTTCACATTGTTTTCAATGTGACATTTTTACACAACCTATGACAATTCACGCTTTAAATAATTTTATCTTTTAGAAGAAAGTAATTTCCTTTCATGGGTCAGGCATAAATAAATCCTTTCCGTATAGAACTGGTCTTGAAAGGGATTTATTTTTGCAGTTAAACAATAGATATTTTTGCAGACTACATTTCCCATACACTAAACTGACTCAGTTCTCTTTTGCCAGCTGTGGTGACTCCTGGGAGAGGAAGAATTATTTCTGTAAGTTATTACTCACTTCTCTTTCTGGGCCAAGCTGCCGCAACATCTGTCTTTTCTGAGGAGACCCTATAGCGAAGTGTTTTAATGTTTCTTTCATCGTGATCACTTTGGAAAACAGAAACATTTGAATTACTTCTGCACGTCTTAAAGATTGAGTTCCTTACACTGAATATTATATTCTTGTATTTTGAAAATGGCTTGTCCTTGTTATGTTTTTGTGCCACTACCTAAATTAATTCATGAGTAGCTTAGTTATCAACTACGTTGTGTCTGCAATGAGCTTTCCATAAAGTCTCCTGTAATTCCAACAAACAACTCTGCCTTGGCTGCCTCTACTAAAGTTCTGCCTGGCTACAGCCACACTATCAAGTGTCTAAGAAAGGAAGAGCTCAATATACAGACAATTTTGCATTCCTCTAGAAATATGTGTTTCTTTAATTAAAAATAAAAAAAAATTACTTGCTGGACCATGCATTCATGTAATGCTCACGAGTATGTTGTTGAACTTGTGAAAAATAATGTGAGGAGGGCCTTGATTACTCTGGTTTTCTTAGGCTATTCCTACAATATAGTATGCAATTTCTTACAAAAGTACTAGCAGAAAGAATAACACAGAAAGGAATATCAGGTATTTTTATCATGATGCCCCGCTCAGATCAGCTATGACAACCTTAAAAATCCTCATGTTCTCCTCAGAGATTTGGCCAGTTGGCCAGTACTCCCAGGTCTTTCTTTCCAGGTAGTTTTATATCCAGATTTTCTCAGTTCAGGAATAAGCTGCCTTTCCAAAGCCAAGCCCGCTCTGAAGGCCACACGCTCTTTCAAATATATGTTGAACTACAACTCTGTTAATGATTTACACGTTTGCTCTCTGCTCTGAAAATGCATCCACGCTTTTTGCATTACACTTTCTTTTGGCTGTAATTTATACTGACAATGTTGTATTTTTTTTTTCTGTGCTATGTTTCAGTGTTTCTGTTCTAGGCAGATTGAATTATATCAACATTAGGCTTTTGGAGAGAGATAACCAATATAAGCACTTTGAAAACCGAGGCTGTAAACTGTAAAATTACACTCTGAAATTCAAGGAACAGAATGATGAAATTCAAGCAAATGAAGGCAGAACAAGAAAGAAAAGGATTTTTAAAAGTTTTTCTCGAAGCTGAGGTGTAACAGAAGCTTCCTGCACAGTTTTGTATCAACTGCTGTGAGGAGAAAAAAGCCTTGGGTAACATTAACTACATAATCTAAAATAATTTCATTTTTGCTTATGAGTGGTGTAAGAATGTACAAAATAAAGGACGCTCATTGGTAAAAACCACTCCCTCATTCCCAAGCTTGGGTGACGGCAACACGATTAACATCTCTGTTGTGCACTCTAATGCAAGGCAATGTCTAAACCACCTCTCACAAAAGACTGTGAAGCTTCACTAAGAGAATGGCAATATTGTGCAATGAAGATTTCTTGACTAAAAATTAATCTTTCACTGTGATTTTTTTAATTAAAAAAATTTAAAAAAAGCTTTCTGCCTGACATAGCAATGAAGAAAGTAACTGAACTTATTCAGATATACAGGAAGTCTGAATCCTTGAAGAAAAGCTCTCCCTGGCTGAAAAATATAAATAAAGCCTTATTTTAAAAGAAAAAAAAAAATTTTTTTAAACCTCCTCAAAAGACGTTTCAAGTACCAATACTAGCATCTACTATAATAGTGAACCTACTACGCTTTCTGACAGCAACTTCTGCCTTCAAAAAATGAAAGTGTTGCAACTAAGATTTTATAGTTCAATGTCATTAAATTTAAAAATTATCTAGGTCCTATAGATTTTCTTATGGAGCCAAATCGTAAAGGTGCATTAATAGCAGACAATATCTTTTTGCGGAAGATTAGAAAAAGGCTTACTGTCATCCATTGGCTTAAATCTGACGGTCGCCCAGTCTGAATGGTTATCTTCTGACTCCGCTCTGACCTGTAAAATGTAGTCTCCATACGCAGACAGAGAAGAGACATCACACTCTGTGAGTCTCAAGTTTGTGCTCACATTTTCATATGTGTGTCCAGGGAAATTGATGCTATATGGAAGAGAAACAAAATGTATATGATGGGTAAATTATAACATACTAAATGTCTTTCCTCTCAATTAACTGGAAAAGTGGCACATCTCTCTGTTAATACAAACAATTATGACTTGTGAACAAGAAAAATTAAATCCAGTGTATAAGAAACATTGTTATTAGTGTGTACACATTAGGGTTAAACATTTTATATGCATCTATAAATCCGTGATAAAATTAGAGTTTAAAATTATGATTCCGAAAATAGATGCCCTTTTCTTGACAGTGGTTACAAAACTTGATTCAACAGACAGTAGTTATCAGACAAGTCTGCAAATATTAAGACAATATCGCTATGCACAACTTTGCTGTCTAACTCGGACTTTATTCAGCGTTATCTTTAAGATATGCATATAAGGAAAAGCCAGAGAAAACAGAGTCAGAGAGCTGACTGGGAACCGTATAATAAATTATATTCTTTCTGTTTGGCATCAAGAGCCCACCTAGGAACGTAGTGATCCACACGTAATTGCTACCAGAACCCAGAAAAATCTTCTGTTGGCTAAGATGGCCCGTACCCTCAGTTTGGGGATTTTTCCTCAGCAGGCACCTGCCTGTGGGTGCCATCATCTCTGCTTTACATCCTACCCTGTCTTGGCCAAAGAACTCAACCTTCGGCAGGAACGCGAGACCTCTGGCCCGTCACCTGGTTTCCTTGTCAAGCAGGGAGGGAGGTGGGCGGGGAGCCCACCGTGGGGCTGGGGAAGCGGCCGCCTTCCTCGGTCCAGCCGCACAGACCGCTTTTCCCAACAGGAGAGACCAACTCGGAAGGACGCAGTGGCAAAACCAAATCAAAGCTCAATCAACCCACCAAAACCGACAGAAGGAGACCTCATAAAACGTGTCCTAGGTTTAAGGCACTGGACGGACGAGCCACCAGCCTGCAGTTCATTGGGCATTTCCACTAAGGGCGCAGGCAAGCTGGCTGCATTGGTGGCAGAGCACAAAATGCTGCTGGAGTGAAAGATCAGTTAAGGCCCTAACGCTCAGCAGGACTAAGTCTCTTGAATCGCAGGTAACAGCTACATGACAGAGAAAAAACACACACGTAGCTAATAACAGCCAACGTTAAAATGTGTTTCTGGTTCCAAAAAAAGTACGTATAAAGCTGCCTTGGGTGTGAAATGTGTAGAAAATGCTTCTGCCCTGTTATTTAGCTCAGAAGACAAACATCTCACAAGCTAAAAGAAAAGGGACAGATATTGATCTTCCTATAAAAAAGGAAACAAATCACAAATACACGCAGCTGTAAAACGTGAATTAAAGAAAGCACAACTCCCCCAGACTTACCTCTGAGATTGGACAGTGTAACTTATATTCCCTTCGTGAAACCTAGGTGCATCCCACTGTAAAATGCTATGAAGATTAACTGAAATAATTCTTGCGTTTTGGGGTTTTGGTACTATTCCAGATACTGTGGGAGCAATCAAAAAACAAGCAAACATTTTAGTATGTGTTCCTCCAGCGATTTCTCAGTCATCCAAAACTTAAATACAGCCTTCTTTTTCCTCCTTGCCTCAGACACTTTTTTTAAAAGAGACTTTAATATAATTAATTTAAATCCTGATGCCTATTGTTCCTTCTGAGTTTATGCAACAAAAGCAAATTAGCCAGCATCAGGTAAGTACAGTCTTTATGATATCATCATTTATTATGCATGACTGACTTGTTACTGCCTAAGACTTAGGGCCCATCAGGCTACCTACATGAACTCTCACTGAGATTGTCAAAATCAAATTTTTCTAACTAGTGCTCCAGTAGCACTATGGAAATAACATGGGCATGTGGATTGATTTGTTGATTTTTTCTGGCTGTTTTTTTTTTTTCCTGAAGAGGAACATGAAGAGTCTTTATACATAGACCTGGGTATAAGATTGAAATAATTAAAAAAAAAAAAAAAAAAAATCCATCTTAAGCATGTTTATACCATCACTGCATGGATTAGCACCGCCACTTAAAATGCTTAACTCATTCTGTTATTAAGCCACCCTTTTGAAAAACAGAGATAAACAAGAAGTACCTTCAAAGGCAAGGGAGCTATTAAATATACCATACAGATAAATGTATCCTTAATTGGCACTCTTCACAAGTGACGAAAAGACAATCATTTTGCTTTATTGAAACGGAATAAAGGAAACCCTAAAGTAGTATCGATGATTTAATACTATTATGATTTAACTATTTTAAAATAATTGTTGGCATTGAAACTCAACTAGAAAAGATTTTGGCCCATTATTACAACACAAGTGATCAATGCAAACAAACCCTGACAGATCGGATTAGTGCTTAGATGTCACAGGAGTAAAACCTAATGACATACGTTCTAAGATAAATAACCTATTTTATATGTCTATAGTTGATGCATAAATAACATGAAATGAATGTGTCAGTTACCCACCTTTAGCAGACAAGAGTTTTAAATCTAAACCCTGCTTAAATAAAAACTATTTCACAGACTCAATTCCTACAACGTTACCCTTGCACCCAACAAATCAACTCAAACACACTTCACATCATGAAAGCAGAAGTTGCTTGCTCCCCTGCACCCCGACCTCCTTGAGAGATGCCGTCCCCGTGCGCACGTGCCCTCACCGGTACCCACCTCGGGCACTCGCCCTCGGAGATCTCTGCCTGTGCGCACGCTGTGCCCCTTTGCAGGCCCTTCCGGCCTCCTGCCCCCACACCTTCTCCTACCTGCAAAATCCCAGGTGTGCAGAACGCTAAGGAAGATGGGTGCAGGTCACAGGGTGCAAAGACTCAGCGTGAACAACACAGCTGAAAAAAAATCTGGCTAGTACAAGGCATCTGATTTCTCCTCTCCCGCTACAAAGGACTCTCTCTAGGGCGCTGCCTGTGCTTTGAGGAAGCTCCCTCCAAAGATGTGAGGTAGGCCTGTAAATTCCCAGTAAAAAGCATGATGCCTCCGAAGGCTCGCTTCCCTGACAGCGTTTTCTACTTGAAAAGCCTCCAGGTAAAGTTTTTTTATTCAGCACTGTGAACCCAAAGAAATGAGAAAATACTTCTGTGGTTTTGTACTTTGTAAACGGAAGGTTTGCACACAGCTCACATCACAGTCCTAGATACGGCCTGTTTTGGGAAACGTATGGCCCGGGACAGTCTAAGCGGCCGTGCTGTTGTGCCCGGAGCAGCAAGAGCTCTGCCGGAGAAGGCCCGTTTGTGCCGGGCTTTGCAGGCACAGCTACGGCCGCGCTCCCACACCTCAGGGTTACCGCGCTTTTGGTTTCGCCCCCACGCGCGTGTTTCATCGCTGGGACTTGCACAAGTGTCCCAAACCGAAAAGGAAAGTTCCCGTTTCTCAGCACGGATGCAACCTTCGGGGGGAAAAAAGCGCGTGGGCAGCGGGAGCTGGGCCCCCGCCAGCACCCCGGCAGC